CTTTAAAAAAATAAATAAATAAAATAAAATGGGTACCTAGTAAATACTCATTTCTTTTTTATATGATTTAGTTAATAGAGTTAATGTTGATTTAAAACTGTTACGCAGAGAAATGTCTTAGCATTAAACCTTAACAGGTTTTTTTTTAAATGTCTAAAATTCAGTGCTGTGATCATAACATTTTCTTTTTACAAGCTTTTTTGTTATTGTTAATAAACTTTTTTTTTAGAGCAGTTTTAGATTCATAGCAGAATTGAGTGGAAAGTACAGAATTCCCGTATACTCCCATCTGCCCCTACACACGTAATGTATACTTTTCAGACTTGTTAATGTTAGCTAATAAGTTGTGTGAGTTTAATGATATTTTAAGAAACAGTTCTCTTCACCTCAAGAATGTTCTTATATTACTGAATTTTAGGCTGTAAATGATCTTTATTTTTATTTTCTGTGAACTAATTCAGAAACAGTCATAGCCTTTCTAAAGCTTTTAAATTAAGAAGGCAAATGAATCTTCTAATAAAGTTCGGTTCCATTTCCTAGAATATTTGGAGATGGGTAAAATACTTAAACCGTCAGGCTACTGGGGCACCTCTTTGGCTCAGTCGGTTGAGTGTCAGGCTCTTGGTTTCAGCTCAGGTCATGATCTCATGGGTCATGGGATCGAGCCCCACATCAGGCTCCCTGTTCAGTGGGGAATCTGCCTGAAGATTCTCTCCCTCCCCTTTCCCCCTCCCTTTCAAATATAAAATAAAAAATAAATCTTTAAAAAAAATAATCATTATTATAAAGGCATGTGCTTTGTGTAGGGTAAGTAACAGTTTTTACAATTTATTTCTTCAGTTACTGTGTGCTTTCAGTCTCGTCATTGTAAAGCTGTTTTAAAGTACCTTTTCTCTAAATGATGTGTGCTCTCATTTTCACCTGCAACTTTTTTTGGTGTAAGGATTTCACTTATTTTAGAGATTCATTTTTATCTGAAAATTAAACAGTAAGCAGTGTTTTGATTTATAGTCCATTTTTATCATTTTATGTGGTAACATTTAACTTTTGATAAGCCTTATATTGTTTATTGGGAAACTGTCAGAAAAGGGTAATAAGTTGCAGTAAAATTTTCTTTTTGCTGCAGTAGACCAGATTTGAAATGGGCATTCCTAATTGACATGGAACATAGGAACTTATTTTACTGCTACCTCATTGGCCTAGATCTGTTTCTTTTTTTTTTTTTTGACATAGTTACCTTTCTTTTATTTGTTTTTTTATTTACCAGTTTCTTTTATCATATGGTAAAAGTGTCTATATATGGTAATTTTCAGTTATTACAAATTCGGACTTTGATTTTGACAGTACAGTATTTCAACATTGGCATCCAAAGTAGTAGATTACAAGAAATGCTAGCAAAAATATAATTTCACACATGAACTCCAAGAGTAATATAACCACAGAACGTTTATTTTTTTCCCAGTGTGTTAGTGAAAATAGTTAGCATGTAATGAATGCGAATAGACATTTAGAATGGTTTTTTGAGACAGTTTCCTTTGTGACCTAAAATGATCTTATATTGTTAAGACATTGTGCTTATTGAGTTGTAGGCCCGTACAAAGTACCTTTTAATTTTATTAATATAATTACAAATTTCTTTTATGTAATTATAATAAGAAACAGCCAGAGGACAGCAAATGTCCTAATTACATATATGAAATTGCTTTATTTCTAGGGTTTACAGATTGGTACTCGAGAATTAGAAGAGATGGGAGCAAAATTTTGTGTTGGTCTGTTGCGTTTGAAAAGACTGACATCCCCATTGGAATATAATCTGCCTTCCAGCCTGCTTGACTTTGAAAATGACTTGATTGAATCGAACTGCAAAGTAACTAGGTAAGACGCACTTGTTTCCTTCTGTTATTATGTTGTAGTATACTGTTAGACTTCATTAAATTAATTAAGGAGGAAAGGCACAGAGATTTTGATAGCCAAGAGCATTTTTAGAATTAAATAAAGTTTAAACATCTAGGTTATGTATTTATTTGTTCCAAATTGTGATAATGTTCTTCATTCTTTCAACATTGATATTTGGATGAGATTGTAACGAAATATCCTTATATTTTGAATGCTATTTTTAGTAATCTTAATGGCTTACCTTTAACCCAAAAATAAGCAATATGGAAAACAGTACTTAGATAATATCTAAATAAGAGGACTTGGAATCAGGATTCATACCTGAAATTTTATTTTATTGATATCTACACACATCAAATGGCTTTCCAGTAACATTCTGGTTACATATACTAAAAACAGCTAATTACTTTAGTATCCCTTTGAAAATTTAATTATATCTGCCAAATAATATTCTCAATAGATAAACCTTTGCTCCTTAAATATATATAAAATTTAATCAGTTACAGGCTCAGATATAATTCAGTATTATAATTCTTAATCATAACACCAGACCTTAGCATTTTATAGTTTGATGGATATGGGTAAGAATATGCTCATTTTGTAGAATCTTCATGATTTTTCTTGTTAGATATTGACTTGTCAGTTTATTGCTCTGCTCTGTTACATATATTAGTTTAGGAGTTTTAAGTGTAGTAAAACATTAATTAGAACTCTGTTCTTTTTAATATGATAATTGAGACAGTAATCACCTGAGTTTTCTACTGGAAGTAAATATATAAAGATTGTCAGTTGTTCTGACTGATATTTAGAAGCCTTCCTTCAAGTTATTTCATGTATTCTTCTTTCTCCCAGCTTTATTGAAGTATAATTCACAAATACAGTTTTAAGATTTTATGATGCTTTGATATATGTATACCTTGTAAAAGGATTGCCCCATTGAATTAATAACATATCCATCCATCAGCGCACATATTTACTGTTGGGTGTGTGTGTGTGTGTGTGTGAACGGATATGATTATTTCAGTTCTGCTCTTCAAATTTCAGTCATACAGTCTAGGATTATCAGCTGTAATCACCATGTTATACATTACTTCCTCAGGTCTTACTCATCTCAAGGCTGAAAATTTGTACCCTTTTACCAATCTCTCCTTTTTTCCCTACACCCTATACCCCTGGCAACTGCTTTCCTACTCTGTTTCTCTGAGTTCTAATTGTTTTTTTGTTTTTGTTTTTGTTTTGATTCTACATGTAAGTGACACCATGTACTAGCTATCTGTCTTTGTCTGGCTTATTTCACTTAGCATAATGCCCTACAGGTTCATCCATGTAGCAAATGAAAGGATTTCCTTCCTTTTAAAGGCTGAATGATATTTCATTGTATATCTGTATGTTACATTTTCTTTATTCATTCATCCATCAATGGACACTTAGGTTGTTTTGATACTTTGACTGTTATGAATAATACTGCTTTGAACATGGGAGTGCAGATATTTCTTTAACAGCTAATGATTTTATTTCCTTTGGATATATACCCAGAAGTGGCATTGCTGGATCATATGGCAGTTCTATTTTTAATTTCTTGAGGAACCTCCATACTGTTTTCCATAGTGGGTGTACCAGTCAACATGGTGACCAACAGTGTACAATTGAGCACCTTTTCATATATCTGTTGGCCATTCGTATGTCTTCTTTGGAAAAATGTGTATTTAGGTCCTTTTCCCCATTTTTAAAAATTGGGGAAATGCCCCATTTAAAAAAAAAATTTTTTTTTTGCTTTTGAGTTGTGAGTTCTGTGTATGTCTGGTATTAACCCTTTATTGGATGTGTGGTTTGCAAATATTTTCTCCCATTCCATGGTTGTCTTTTTATTTTGTTGATGGTTTTCTTTGCTGTACAAAAGCTTTTTAGTTTGATGTGGACCTACTTGTTTATTTTTGCTTTTATTGCCTTTGCTTTTGGTGTCAAAAAAGAAATTATTGCTAAGCCCAGTGTCAAAAGAGTTTACCCTCTGTGTTTTCTTCTAGGAAACAACATATCGTACTTTCATATCGTACTTTCTAGTCATTAATCTGTTTTGACTTGATATTTGTATATGGAGTAAGGTAGGGGTCTAGTTTTATTCTTTTGCATTTGTCTATCCAGTTTTCCCAGCGCCATTTAATGAAGAGGCTGTCTTTTCCCAATACATATTCTTGGTTCCTTTGTCAAAAATTAATTGGCCGTATATGCAGGGGTTTACTTCTGGGCTCTCTGTTCTCTTCATTGATCTCTGTGTCTGTTTTGATCACTATAGCATGATTGTTTGAAATCAGGAAGTGTGATGCCTCCACCTTTGTTCTTTTTCAAAATTGCTTTGTCTATTCAGGGTCTTTTGTAGTTCAATTGTTTCTTTGAAAAATGCCATTGACATTTTGATAGGGATTGTATTGAATCTGTAGATTGCTTTTGGTAGTGTGGGCATTTTAACAACATTAGTTCTTCTAATCCATGAGCACAAACTACCCTTCTATTTATTTGTATCTTTTTCAGTTTCTTTTATCGCTCTCTTACAGTTTTTATCTTCTATCTCCTTGTGTAACTTATTCCTGTTTTATTCTTTTTGCTGCTATAGTAAGTAGGATTGTTTTCTTCTCTTTTCATAGTTCATTGTTGGTATATAGAAATGCAGCTGTTTTTTGTGTATTTTGTTTCCTTGGCATCACTACTGAAATTGTTCATTATATCTAACATTTTTTATGAAGTTTTTAGGGTATCTATGTATAATCTGTTGTCTGCACTGAGAGAAAATTGTACTTCTTCCTTTCTGATTTCCATGTCCTTTGTTTCTTTTTCTTTCCTAATTGCTCTGGCTAGGATTACCAGTACTAGGCTAAATGAAAGTGGTGAGAATGGGCATTCTTTTGTTGTTTCTGATCTTAGAGGAAAAGCTTTAGCATTTTATCACTGGCTATGATGTTAACTGTGGGCTTATATCAACTTATTGTGTGGAGGTGTGTGTCATCCTCTTCCAGTTTTTATAATGAATGGATATTGAATTTTGTCAAATATTTTTCCTGCATCTATTAAGATGATCACATGATTTTGATTCTTCATTTTGTTAATGTTGTGTATCACACTGATTGGTTTGCAAATGTTGAACCATCCTTGCATCCCAGAGATGAATCCCACTTGATTATGGTATATGTTTGATCCTTTTAATGTATTGTTGAATTGAATTTCCTAATACTTTATTGAGGATTTTTGCATCTAAGTTCATCAGGGATATTGGCCTATAATTTGTTTGTTTTTTTGAGTGAGCACTTTGAAGGTATCCTTTCACTCCCTTCTAGCCTGCAAGATTTCTGCTGAAAAAAATCTGCTAATAGTCTTACGTGTGTTCTCATGTATGTAACAGGTTGCTTTTCTCTTGTTGCTTTAAAGATTTTCCTTGTCTTTAACTTTGACACTTTAATTATAATGTGTCTTGGTATGGGTCTTTTTGGATTCATCTTTTTGGGTCTTTGTAAATCTGGATTTCTGATGTCTTTTTCTTTCCCCAGGGTAGGGAAATTTTCAGCCATTATTTCTTTGAATAAGCTTTCTGTCCTTTTATCTCTCCTTCTGGGAACTCTATAATGAATATATTGGTTTGTTTATTCATGTCCCATAAGTCCCTTAAGTAATTTTCACTCTTCATTCTTTCTTCTTTTTGTTCCTCTGTTTGGATGAATTCTACTGCCCTTTCAGAGTTCACTGATTCTTTCTTCAGTTCTATGATTTCTATTCAGTATTTTTTCATATTTTCTGACTCTCTTTTGAAATTCTCACTTTGTTCATGCTTTGCTCCTGAATTTGTTGAAAATCTTTATTACCATTATTTTGAACTCTGTATCAGGTATATCACTTATCTGCATTCTTCGAGATCTGTTTCTAGATATTTATCTTGTTCTTTTGTTTGGGATATATTCCTCTGTTTCTTCATTTTCCATGACTCTCTGTTTTGGTTTCAGCACATTAGATAAACTAGCCATCTCCCAGTCTTAGCAGAATGCTCTCGTGTAGGAGATGAACTTCATTGATTATTCTGGCTTGAGCTCCTAGTTGTGTCTCAGACTTTTGTGATAGCCCAAGCCTCTTTCTTTGTTTTTAGTGTCTCCCAGTAGTTGGGGGTGCCAGGTCATAGTAGTATCTCAAAAAGGAGGATCATAGTCAGCACTTAGATGCAGAATGATTAGAAGCTGGACCTTCTAGCAGCAGCTAGAAAAGCATGTAGTTTAAGCCCCTTCCAGGGAAAAACTGGGAGATTGGTATTTTTGCCTGTTCCCTTTGTGCTAGTCTGAGTATATAGCTGTAGGAGGTGCCTCTGTGCCTAAGAACTGCTTCTTTGTTACAGTACATGGGACTCATGAATGTGAGCCCTGTTGGGGTACAGAGCCAGGCTGTCTGTAGGTCTGTGTCTTCAGTGACAGCCACAAAAGCTGAGGTGTCAGATGTATGTACAAGCTCCTTTCAGGGTGATATAGGTAACTTGCTTTGGTTATTGGAGCACCCTGTGGGGAGAAGGCAGGATATATATCTGCTGGCTTCCCCAGTCTCTGAAGAGGATGGCATCCCACAGTTCCTGCTAAATTAGAAGTCTGGCCCTCAGGCTGCAGCTTTTAAAATATGCAGATGAAACTTTTTCAGTGAAAGACTGGGAGATGGGCAGTTTTGCCTATTGCCTCTGTGCAGAACGCACACACACACTATATATATACATATGTGTATATGCTTGTGCATGCCAGTTAAGACTTGCTTCTTTGTTTATTGTAGCCTTGTGGTCCTGTTGACCGTCAGAGCTAGGTGTTTTTTCTAACCAACCTTTAATTCACCCATGCTTTCTTTAGCTGGGTCTAATCTGATACGAAATTTATCTTTCTAATTCTTAATTGTATTTAATTAGGGGGAGCAGGGGGAGAAAACTCCTTTGGAGCACTGGGCGGTGATTTAAAAAATTTTTG